ATATATATATTTGTGTGTTTGTGTAATATCAGAAAATATTGGTTATCGGCCATAACAGCAATAATAATATCGGATATCGATATCAGCTGAAATTTTCATGTAAGTGCATTCCTAATTTAAAGTAAATTTTAATAAAATGAAAACAAATACAGGTGCCTTCCAGCAGACAGCTTCAGTAAATTCACTTTTTTTCAATGATTTTCCTCTCTAAGGCAAAGCAAATATGAAGACTGGAGAATGTTCATTTTTCCACTGGAYTCACACTGTTTACCCTGGCTGGCTTAATGGTTTCACCAGTTCACTGAGTCACACGTTCATCACTGTGAGCTGGTTGATATAAATCATCTGTCGCCTTTTTTCTGTCAGCCATTAAACTACTTAAACAAACCCCACTTCTAATTCTTATTGAATRTTCCTTTAGGGACATAGCTTTAACATGACACACATGTTACATCAGGCAGGGCATTTTATTCTCCCCTCAATCGTAATTATGCTTCAAAATAACCTCATAACCATTCCTTCCAGGGTGGAATAGGAATCATGAGGAGTTCATCAATCTTTCTTTGGCATCGGTCAGTTGTTTCCATTTGTTCACAGCCTAAAACTGGTTCAGTGAGTCTTTAAATCTAGGCAGATCATTGTATCGTTCTCTGAAACAGTTTTTACATCTGCAGTGAAAAGAGGATGAAACACAAACATGGCTGCAGAAGAAATATTCTTTAGCTTATAAACTATCACATTCTCTTAATCAGCTGTAGATGTGTACACAGCTTTTAAAAAGTTTTATTAAAATGACTTCAGTTGTTTATGGAATATTTTGCGAACAAACCATATCTGACTCCAGTTCATACAATCTTATGTGATTAGTTGTGATAGGATGACTCTTAGAAACTGCCACCAAATCTTAGCTCCACATCTGTCAAATGATGGATTATAATCATTTTTGTGTTGGCTAAAGCTGCCTAGCAGTGGTGGCCATCTTTACTGGGGTTGACTGTAAAAGTTAATCAGTTATAAAATGTAATAATAACCTTTGAGGATTCATGAGATATTTTGCTAACAGCTAACAAATCCACACACAGACTAGAGTAAACATAATCACCCTGCCTTTGCCTTCGGCTATGGGTGGTGATAGGTTTAATAGTAATTTATGACCTTTTTAAACACAAACAGGYGGAATCAGTTACTTGTATTAAATTTCTTTTCCATTATTAGGCTGTTTCATTCCAGAGGAGTTGAATTTATTATGTAAAGTTGTTCCAATCTGCTGCTGCTTCACCCTAGTTCATGGATCCAGTCAGATACGTCTCGTTTTCAAGTGTGAAAACATTTAAAGCTGTTTCTGTCTATTCTTCAGCACATCTGTCGCCTTCCTGTGTTGTTAGAAAAGCCTGAAACATTTTTATTAAATCTGGTACAAAATATATTTACAGCCAGAACTCATGAATTTATTTGCAAACTATGAAAATATTTATTGTAGATTTACTTGTTATAAAAAAAAGTCATAAAAGTCAGGTTGTGTTAAAATGTTTCTGTTTTTATCAGTCTGTTAATCAACACTAAAACATAGGAATGAAGAAGTATGTAAACTTTCTGAAACATTCAACTATGAACATTTTAGTGGGGTTTTTTTTTTACAATAAAAAACTAGTAATGAGGACTGTTTGGTAATTTCTAAGGCTAGAAATTGTATTTTTTCTGTCCCATTTTTAGTAAAGTTACAGATAATAATATTTGCCTTGTTTTCAGGCCTTAGATAGGATTTTGTAAAGCAAASATTCACACTATTTTATACATCACAAAACACTCTCAGGTTATATACATGTCACGTTATCTGTGTTCAATTTGAGCACTTTCTTAGAAACAACTAAAAAGGAATATCTTATTATGATCAAAAGTGTTGTGGATTTAAATCCATATCATAATTAACAACTTAATGAATTCATAAGAAAAAAAGCAAACTTAAATATGAAAAACTATTTCAAAATTCACCCAAAGAAACTGTTTTTTTTTTTGTTGTTGTTGAAGTTCACGTTATGTCCTGCAGGTGGCGGTGTTGTACCACTGCTCAACATTCAGTAGCAGATCCAAGCAGACTGGAAGTACCAACATACTTTGGTCTTTTTGCTGATTTTTTAAGATATTTTACAGTGTTTTTAGAACAAAGTAAAACAAATCTATTTAATGCACGTTTTATAAACAAGTTTTAGTCATTTCACACCCACACACATGCAATAATATTTTAATCAACTGTCAATCACTCAACATTGGCTGGACACACAAATAGCTAAAAACACAGCTAATTTTAATGATAATGAGCTTAAATTAAGTGTGGTACAGTCATCACAATAACAGAGTCACAATAACTGCTTTTAAATTCATCCATTAACCTTTGAAGTCAYCTCTGTCTGTTAGCAAAATATGTCACAAGGATCTGGATGGATTTTAATGAAACTTTCAGGGAGTGACTTTTGGTTACACATTTACAACCAAATCATTTTTTAAAGTGAATTCCAGCTTAGAGCCACAGCCATCTGACTGTTTGAAAGACAAAATGGCAACAACTTTTTACAGAGATTGAACTAAAACTTAGTGTAGTGGTAGCTGAGAGATTACACATTATTCAACAAGRTTTGACTGAAATGACTAGAACTCTGTCTCTTCTCAAATTAGGCTGATCCTGCAAAACTCTGGCATTTATATTACAGATATTGATGGATAAATTAGAGGTTAAAGTGTCAAAAAGTTCCCCTTTTTGTAAAAACAGACATATTTAAAAATACCAATTAGTTTTATCAAGTCAAACCACATGTGTGAGGCACCTTCTATGCTGGGTTAAATGGTTCAGTAAGCAAACCCTTTCTGCTCATTATAAATGAAATACTGAATGCATTACGCTGAAATTACATAAATACTTAATGGAGTTTTGATCTGTCTGCATATCTGCAGCAGGGTGGATTTCCTTCATTAAAAACAGCTTAAGGTTTTCGACTTTTGGTTCTCGAAYATTTCCTGCCATGTTTCCTTAATGTGGCACCAAAAACCTTTAACTAATGTTAACCTAGATCTAAAATAATTGTTTTGAACATAACAATTAAAATAGACACGCTTAAATCACATTGTTTTTTTGATTCGGAGCATGTTTGTTTGTGTTTTCAATAAGTTGAATAAGTTTAAATGAGGTCACACAGTTGAGATGATGACGTAGAGAAGAGTTAAATGATGGAGACTGGGCTTGAAAACAGAGAAAAAAAAGTYTGATGCATGCTTTGCAGTTTTCCCACACAGTTAGGCTGAGCGAAGGTTAAAGTGTAAAAGTCGTATCCCTGAAGTATAAAGCTCTCCTGGGTTGTTCCTACTTCCTGCTCTTTTCCTGACACCAGGCTTCCTCTCTTSTGTTAACACAATCCTAATTTGCAGTTTACATGTAAACACTGGCTGGACTGCAGCTGCTGGGTGTTGATTAGAACGTGGTGCTGTRTTAGAAACCAGAGTTGGTTGTGTTTTTTGTTGTTGTTCTTTGTGAAATTTGACGACGTCAGAAAATTTACGTGGATATTAAAAACTTATTCTTTGTTGTAACAATGCCACTTAGCGATAAAATCTTACACCATTGGAAATCCTATTAATTTCCATTTTAAATGGTGYCACATTTGTAAGGAACATGCATTTGTAGGATGTCCAGTGGAGCTGAATATGTGGGCTGCACACATGAAAAATTAGCCAAATCTTCTCTGACAAACAGCTTAYTTWTCTGTTTTTATTGACTCTTGTTTTGAACTTCTGGTTCCTCCAGGTAGTGTTGTAGTCAAGACCACCTAACCCGAGACCAAGTCAAGACCAAGACCACAGTGTATCGAGACCGAGACGAGACATTTAGGGCCTGGACCAAGTCGAGACCAAGACCGAGGGAGGGGGAGACTGAGTCAAGACCAAGACCAGAAATTTTTTTTAAAAAGCAAGAAAGCCAGTTCTGTAAAAGGTGGAGCATTCTGTACACATGTACCTAACTTAACATTTAGAGCTAATATTGATTAAATCTGCGAGGGCCGAGAAAATAATTTTGCCATAGAGGCAGATTGCTAGCATTTGTTTTCTTCTGGATATTGTATTGTTTTTTTTTTATGACTTTAGTAGCTGAACTGTATTATTGAAGATTTTGCAGACATCTTCTCCTGCTCCCAGAGAACTACTGCTCACTTATTTGGAGTGCTGTATGCGAGTGAACAGGGGTGGGGATGGGTGACATGGCTAACAAAAATACATAAACAGCAGTAAGTCAGGTTTGGATTTGAATCAGTGTGTTTTACATCGAATGAAACAAGAATATTAACAAATAAATTCAACAACATTCTGRCTATTTAGTGATATTTCCACAGTTGTCATCTTGACTGGTCTTGCAATAAAATCCCGAGTCCTCAATGTCCGAGACCGAGACCGAGTACAAATGTGGTCGAGTCCGAAACAAGACCAAGACCATCAAAAAGTGGTTTTGAGACCAGTCTCAAGACCAAGACTGATCTCAAGTACTACAACACTACCTCCAGGTGCTGCCAATCTCAAGATTTATAGCTAAGAAGCATTGTTACAGCAAAGAAGTCATCTGCCAAACCCAAATTTCCTKACTTTTTGTGCTAAGTTTATATTGCAGTGTTACTGTAATTTAAATTACATTCTTTAGCAGATGTTTGACGTAAAACTGAGAAGCTGTTTTGTGGGAACCAGAATGAAGCTGTGAACCACAAGACTTTGATAAATCATCTTCTGTTTACAGAAGGACATGAGGACCTCCAAGTCTTTTCTGCACACACACACACACACACACACACACACACACACACACACACACACACACACACACACACACACACACACACACACACACACACACACACACACACACACACACACACAATACAAAATCATCTTATTATCTCTACAGATGCAGACAGCAGACGTATCTGCTTGTTTCTTTGATATCAGACATGTTCACCTGTAAAGATCCACTAATCTCATCTGTTCACAGCCTCTGAGGAGAAACTGCTCAGAGCACCAGGGCAAACTCCTCTTCTTTTTTATCTACACCTACTGTTTGCTCCAGATGCTTTATCTCTCATACGACCTGCCTTGGCCAGAGGTTTATGTTGAAAGGTGTCAGCTGAGCTCTGGGAGGAGTGATGTAAACCTCATATCTAAAAAAAAAAAAAAATCAAATTGAACCACATTACATTTCAATACACAAACAGACTGATCCAGGAAGTGGGCTACACTCCTGAACTGGAAATGTGAGAACCGTCCCACCTCGGCTGAGGACAGCAAAGGGGTCTAAAGTCCTCTTCTAGATAGCAGAGTTTGCATAATGTTTGGAAATCAAGGTCCAAGAGTGTTGAGGAGTGAAGTGGCCCAGACGTCAGTGATGATTTGGGGTCGTGTGATCTGCTGGGATGTGATATAATTTTAAACAGAAATAAAGAGGAACTGATCATGAATCTGAGTTTCACTTTTTGAACAGAGTTACTGAAATAAATCCACTTTTCTATGACATTCTAATTTATGAGCTGCAGTCGTAYGCTTATCAGGTCTGCTCAGAGGTCAATGTGATGTCTGTGGTTCTGATCTCAGATGTCCCTTTAAAGCCCCACAGCCTAATAATGTTACATGTTCCTTTGGAAATCTGAGTTTCAGTTCTGTTTGGATGGCTGTTTCCCTTTATTGGGACCGAAAATCGGTTGATTCATTCAGTTTTTTGCACACAGGCTGAATGAGAGCCTGCCTGWCGAACAAAAGGAGAAAGTAAACACTAATTTCTTCTCTTTTTTTGTCAGAAAATGGAGCAACAATCACATCACTGATTGGCATTTGATTGCATCTTTTGAATCCAAGCTCAAAGATTGAATTAAAAAAGGGAGATTTCATTATGTTCTGGAGCTGCACTAGAAGGCAGTATGAAGAGCAGTGTGGCACACATCAGGACCAATGTAGCCATTTAAAAGTCCTCCGCAGTTAATTAGACTGCAAGAAAAAATTACAGTAGTCATTCCAGAACATTACAGAATAATCTATTTTAAAATTTTAACTTCCACTTGTGCTATCACTTTGAAAACATTTATATCATTTACAAAATAAGTCATGATTTTTAACATTTGACTTGTTTGGTTTTGACAATCAGTTAAACATTACATCTAACCTATCCTGGAAGCCAGTTATTCCTGACTGTTGTTCTGATTTTTCAAATATTACGTCTCAAACTCACCTAATAGTCTATTTAAATGCTGTTTCTATGATTTTATCCACTGAGTTTGAAGATTTTCACTTTGTTAGCCACTGCAAAATCAGCTGGAGTACACTCTGCCCACTTTACAATGGGTGAGTCCTCAGAAAATTTAAGCTAATTATCTTTATTTTCYATTATTCTAATAGAAAAAAAGGATCAATTTCATATTTATGTTGATTATTAATACCTCTGAGCTTATAGCTGTAAAAAAAATCAGGCCCATGAAAACATTTCGAACATAGTATTTTGGTTTATTCTGAATCTGAACAGCATACATGGCAGCCTTCACAGTTTTAACAAGTTCTGACATTCATGTTTTTATACATAAAAAACACAACAGTCCTGTGAGTTTACAGCTTTCCACTGCAAAGTTTGGTAAAAAAAAAAAAAAAAAAGGTCATTGGAGTTTAGAAAATACCTGAGAGCAGAATTTTTTTTAATGTTTACAGTCTCTAAAATAACCCTCATCTTTCCTCTCAATGAATTCAGATTTACAGGGAGCTAGTATAGCATGAACTCAGTTGAAGTGGTTTTTCTGCAGCTCCAGTCACTGCAAAAAATGTGAAATCTTTTCTTTTAAACAAAAAAACACAATTAGAAAAAAATTAAAGCTGGCAAAATAAAAAAATTAAACTTGGCCATTGTCAGATGGCAAAAACACTGCAATCCTGTAAACTTTAAACATGATCAATATTATCACCTCAGCTCAGATTAGCAACAAATGAGCACCAAAAGCAACTTTCAACTGTTAGATTTTTTTTTTTTTTGGTCCTTTTATACACCAGAAATGTGTTTGGTAACAAAGTCAAAAAGAAAGGGAAAACCAGGTATGGATTATTTGTTGGTAGTGACAGTAACTCCCATCAGGTGGAAGACTGGGAAAAGGTCTAAAAATGGAACAAACAAAGCTGAGGTCAGAGTGTATAAACGCACAAATACAAAGTTAGCGTGGTTCGCATCTCCAGAAGCAGAATCCAAATAAAATGACACGTTGTCACACCTACAACAAAAAGGATTATATCTTTTACACGCATCGTAAAGAACAGTGTTGGTCAGTGCAGATCCAGCTCGGCCAACTAATGGCACGCGGTTTTAAAGACACGAGCAGCTGTAAACATTTCAGAGAGAGAGGAAGGGCATCGGCAAATTAAAAGGCTCAGCGTGGCAAAACTAAAACGTCTTTAAAACGGTTCATCTGATGGTAAACATTAAAAGTCACGCTATAARGCTGTTAAACTCACTAAAGTTTGAGATGTTTCTGTACGCCTAAAAAATCTTATTCTTTGTTAATGCTCACTGTTTTCTAAAAAAATCTGGTTKGTGGAGCACAAAGCACGGCTGCAGATGAATGTTACATTTTATGATTTGTACAGAAAAACAGTCAGTCCAGCAATACTTCAAGTTTAAGTATGAATATATTGCTTTACTTTCCTTGGCGTAATATACTTTTATGTACTTAATGGGTTTTATAGATGCACTGATGGTGGTAACACAGCTTCAGATGCTGTTAGGAAGTGACGTATAATTCAAATTACTTATCTACAATTCAAATACAAAACTGTACAGTTTTTATACATGTTGATTCAAAGCTATGATTGCTTTTTCATGTAGGATGATAGAACACATCCTGACTATGTATCTGTGGTTATATAGATAAAATATATACAATGCTGAGTTTTAATCCACTGTTTACAGATGGATTTCAGCCTGAAATCAGTTTCCCCACAATACACTGCAGAAATGAAAGACTAAAAAGGCTCAGAGTTGAAGTTTGTGAAGATTAGCACAAGTTGTTGGTGAAATAACTGATTTGCTGCTTTGGGAAACATCCGTCTTCACAAATAGCTGAAACTCTATCACAATCTAAAAAGTCTGACTCCAAATAGTAAAATATTATACAGAAGATTTTAGAATCTGTTTGGATTTAGTATTGGCCACCTTCTTCTGTACTTATCTACAGCTTTCACAAAAATGCAACACTTGAAACTACATTTTACAAAATAAACCCCCTACCCAAAAAAAAAAAAAACTGTCTAAACATCCCAGAAATGTTAACCCATAACTACCCATATATTTGTATCTTACCAAGTGTTGCGCCTACTAGTTATAACCCACTAAAAATCAACTAATAGTTTTGTTTAAGAACCAAAACTCCAGAACATCTCTGAAAAATAAAACAACACATTTATCAAAGATTTACACCTTCGTTAATTATGGGCAAACACAAAAATGTACATGGAAGTCGGCATGTTTTTATAGGCTATTTTCAAGAAAATGAAACAGAAAACATCACAGAATTTATCACTCTTTTTTTTTTTTAATAAATGCTGTAAGGCTCTTCTCTGTCACACACACAGATCTTTTCTCAGCAGTCCCTTAAAGATAAACGTCCATAGTGTCGAGGATCATGTGACGGCAGAGAGGGCAGTTCTGTTGGTAGATGGGTTGTCTCAGGAGGATGTCCGTACACTCTCTACACAAGCAGAGGTGTCTGCACGGCAGCAGCACCACCGTCTTGGTACAGTCCTGACAGATCACACACTTCTTCCTCTCCTCTTGCTCCTTCAGTAGTGAAAGCAGATTTTCAGCCGGCAGAGGTTTGTCATCTCTGCCAGAACACTCCTTTAGAGGCTCATCGGAGCTCGACGAGGGCAAAATTAAATCCTGTTGCTCTCCACGCGTCCCATCCCCTGCTCGCCCATCCGGAGGGCCCCGCCTCTCCGTTCCGGGGTCGCCGTCCCCTCTCGCTCTGTTCCGATTGTCCCTGTAGAGCTGCAACCGCAACGCCAGGCTCAGCTGGCTCCTGTTCTGAGACAGCTGCTGCCAAAACCTTCTCTCCAGCAGGTAGAGGTGACGGAGCATCCTCTGCACGTGTTGCACGCTACGGCGTAAAAAATCCGGGGTTCTCAACAGGGCGGCTGCGAGCCTCTGAAAACTCAGAGCAAGTCTACGTAGGGAAGCAATAGAGTTTGTGTAATCCACAATCAGCACAGCTGCCCGACGGGTCAGCCTCGGGTTCAAGTAGACGGTGGTCATCAGAGCGATGGTGACGGTGAGCAGGAGGCCGTAGATGTTCAATATGAAGATGCAGATGAACATGTGCACAAGGGAAAACAGGAAATCCAAAACCAGTTTACATGGAGACAACAGGAATGTCCATGTGCCGACGAGGCAGCTGTACAAGAAGGTGATGGAGGTGAGAGCGAGCTCCAGGACCTTCTGCAGTGGGCTGGACACCGTCTGCCACACGCCAGCCACCACCTGGTAGAAATTCTGGGTGGCGATGAGGGCGAAGTTCACCACTGTGTTGGTAAAATAGACCACCAGGCTGACAGCAATGCCACAGCCCTCCAACACAGACAGCAGACCCCGACACAGCTGCTCCTTTCCTCGAAGCAGGACGTGCATGGACAGGTAGCCCACCATCTTCAGGCTCTCCAGCACACCTTCCAGAGCAAGCGCCACGCTTCCCAACAGGGTGACTGTATTTTGGGCTAAGTTAGACGTCGCCTCTGCCATGTACATGGTAGAGAACAGGACGAGGTTCCCCAGCTGGAGCACGGAGTTCATCAGGAGGGTGGGCAGGTTGGTGATAAAAGCCATAACCCCAAGGAGGGTTCTCACCACAGTGTGGACGATGAGAAAGTTCAGGTCCAAGAGCAAACACACTGCATCCAAGCATTTTCCAACAGTGGATATCACAAAGTTCACCACGCCCATGGTCACTCAGCTTTAAGGTAAATGTTTGTCTCTCGGTCGGTGTTGGACCCAGGTTTTAAACAAGCACATTTCTTCTTACGGTTTCCAGGCTGTAATAATCGGTCGTTACATCTCGTTGCTTCTTTATTAACTCCAACTGAAGCAGTCATTCCCTTCATTAAACGTGAGTTATCTTATTTTTCATGTGGACTGACGAGATAACACCACAACACACGCGTTACAGACACAGGCGGATGTTTGTTTTCGAACGAGAACAGCTACTTCCGTTTGTTTTCCGGGTTTCGCTTTAGCTCCGAGCTAACAACGCAGCAAAAAAACTCACTGTGTTAGTTCAAAAGTGAGGTCAGAAAAATCCAGAGTTTGTAAAAACGACGTTGAGACCGACAGAAACGAAGAAAAAACAACCCAAAGAGACATTTAACATGTTTATCCTCCGTCCGAACCGCCATCTTTGTTTTGGTCATCTACTGACCTTTCCTGATTGTGCTTCCGGTTAATGTTTCCGGTGAGTTTTCACAATAAAACAGAGTCAGTAAAATAAATAATTATTTTAAACCATACACTTAAAGTGTAACTTACCCCCCTGTGAAAAGATAACTCCGCCCCAAGGCGAAATTTGAAAAATGCATCAAAGTGGGTAGGGGAGGGGGTGTGGGTGGAGGAAGGGGGGTTAGAGAGCGGAGGTGTGGCCAGGACGAGAGAACGTGACAGCCTCGGCTAAGC